CATATAGCTTCCAACGGTTGTTTCCTTTTTTCACATTACTTGCTTTCAAATCATTAGGTTTGAGTTGAGAAAAATCCAGAAAAGCGCTGCGTACGCAATGAATTTGTAAAGTATTTTTTTTCAATCAGAATAGTCAGTTTATGGCAAAACTTTTAACGATGAATACACATTAAAATTCAGACCCTGAAATTAAATAAGCTTGATGACATTGAATGGTCAGTCAACTAGCACGTGTGGGTTATACTTCACACATTACAACTTCAATTACCATTTCATACACAGTGTTTGGTAAATTTGTGTAAGAGCTACAATATTATTAGCAACACATATTTGACTTAAATCAGCTTTTTCGTATATCTAGCAGAATAGCAACATTTCCTTTTTTTTTAACTATACTCCCAAAAAGTTACTTTTAAAACCCTAAGCAAATGCGTAGGACAAATTTAACACATAGTTACTGATATTTGATGGACAAATTTAACACATAGTTACTTATATTTGATACACAAATTTAACACATAGTTACTGATATTTGATAGACAAATTTAACACATATTTACTGATATTTGATAGACAAATTTAACACATAGTAACTGTTATTTGACAGACAAATTCAACACATAGTTAATGATATTTGATAGACAAATTTAACACATAGTTACTGATATTTGATAGACAAATTTAACACATAGTTACTGATATTTGATAAACAAGTTTAACACATAGTTACTGATATTTGATAGACAAATTTAACACATAGTTACTGATATTTGATAGACAAATTGTTCACATAGTTACTGATATTTGATATACAAATGTCCCTTGAATGAATAAATGCCCTTGTATGTTTTTTTTAATTAATCAACGTATACATAATAAATACTGTTAATTAATTTGTCACATGAAATTAAACAACCGCCAATCAATCAATACTGTTTATCTTATCATGTGGACAAGATAAGAAAGTTGCATTTCATGCAAAACTACAACCAAGGATAAAAGTTATGTTGCCTTCAACGATAGTGGTATTTGATTACGTTATCACAAACATTGAAAACGCTTTTAGCAATCGAAAGCGGCATTTTACTGCTCCTTATGATGGGGTGTATTTCTTTGTTTCTACATTTCATTCGATGATATATAATAGCTATGGTCTACACTTGCAAATGGTCAAAAACAACTATGTTGTTCCGAAGCATCAGCTGGCACAAGTGATGGAAGCTCAATGAATGCAATAATATCTCTAAAACGAGGTGATGTTGTCAAAATACGTAATAATTCAATTCATAGAGGAACATTTCAGGAAGGTATGAGTTTCTTTTCTGGTTATCTTGTGTTTTGAATCCAGAACACAAATAATACACGATTTCCATACGGTGGATTCTAAATTACTTTGATTTGTATTGTTGTAATAAACTTTTGTGAAACCTGTTTTCAGTTATTGCAATTGTGCATTCTCAAACATTACAAGACCAGGTATACAAAGGATATACATAAACAAATCATTTTCTTCAACGACACCATTGAATAACTTTGACAACTCAACCTAAACAGTTTGTACCTTAACATATATGTTAGTCCAATAGACGCAAATCACATCAATTGTAAAATGAGTCATTACAATATTTTATGATAATAATACAAATTAGTTCAATTTGCACAATTGTTTCAAAAGACTATTTTCATACTGCCGACTTTTGACTCGAATGTATATTTTTATTTTGACAGGTAATCTATTCTGAGGTATGACATTCTGGTACTCGGTCAAGTTAGGGCTAGTAAAAGAAGTAAAATTAAGCTTGCAATTGGTAAAATTTTTGGGGGAAATTAGCAGTTTTTTGTTTCCTATACACGACAAAATCATTGCAAAACAGTTATTGTTTTCCCGAATTGTACTGATTGGCAGCTTAATTTTACTCCATTCACTTGCTCTTAGTTGACCAAGTACCAGAATAACGTACCACGGAGCAGTTTACCTGTCGAAAGCTTATATACTCCAGAGTCAAAGGTCAGTAATATGGAAGTAGTCTAGTTTTTTGGGGTTTTTTTTGTGATGTTTCAATGGCACCATCTCACGGTGTTTATACATCATAACTCGTTTTCTATGACCGTGTCAATTGTGACGTTTTGGATTTCAATGAACGTAATTTACGTATTACTAGTAAATAATTAGGTCAGTGATTTTGTTACCACACATTACTTAAAACCTTTTCCAAATTCTTCCATAGATGCACAGATTTGGTTTAGAAGTTTGGTTGTACCTGTGGAAAACTTATTTCAAACGTGATAGCACATCCTAACTATTACGGAGATGTTTTGTCCCGAGCTCGGAAATTCAGATATGATCCGGGTAAACTTATCGATTCTTTTAATAAACCTATTCTCAGAGATTACCCATTCAACACTGTAAATATATCTTTGGATAATATTTTATCGGTATAAATATTGATTGTGTTGTCCATATTTTAAAATTAAAGTAAATATTATGTTATATTTTATGCACATGCATGGCTCTACCATCAGTCGATACCTGTATCTTTGCATTGCACAGGATCATGTTTTGCTCTTACTGTTAATGACATATTTACACTAAATCCATTGGATGTTGGATGTGTACTGATTGATGTTTTAGTCTTAGATACATGATTTTTTTTTATTTGTTATTGACTTTGACCTAGCAGACAGTAACTCCAATAAGTCTCAGATCTGTATTTCGTGTCTTTTTTTGTGGAGATATATAAGTACCCGACCACGTCCGGTGTGTGCTTTTGTCAGATGTATTTCTGCTTTTTGTTGAATTATATTAGAGTTTCTTTCATTATCGTGATTCTCTTATTGATTTCTACTATCATTTGGATAATTATTACTTCATGGTATTAACGTAAATGTAGTAGAAGTAGTACTGTTATATCTTTATTTTTATTAAACTTTCAAAGTTGGTGTTGAGTGAACAATCGGGATGTACTGAATCAAACTTTTGATAAACAATGTCAATATATAGATATAAGAAGATGTGGTATGAGTGCCAATGAGACAACTCTCCATCAAAGTCACAATTTGTAAAAATAAACCATTCTAGGTCAAAATACGGCCTTCAACACGGAGCCTTGGTTCACACCGAAGAGCAAACTACAAAGTGCCAAACAATAGACTAGTGTAAAACAATTGAAACAGGAAAACCAACGGTCTAATCCGTATAAAGAACGAGAAACGAGAAACACTTTTATACCACATCAACGAACCACAACCAATGAACAAAAGGTTCCTGACTTAGGACTGATAACATATTAATAAATGTCTTTTGGTTCGGGATAACGTTTTTTTTTAATTGCACATTTACAATTTAACGAAATTAGAAAGTTACACATATTAAGAATATTTATAGACTCTGCAAATGAGAATTGAAAAGTCCATACATTTAATTGCCTTTCAATTTAGCTTATATTACCATTTTCAATCATTTATAACCTGTACTTAAACAATGTGTCACCAGTTTATTTCAAGTAAGTGCGTTGGTCATTTTCACTTTAATAATCGTAACAGAACGAATCAGAACAGATTGTTTACTTCAGGAGAACTTTTTAGTTCGTTTGGGCAATAGTTGTAATTTATACCTATGATTCGTTTGAATCCAATTATCTTCTACTCCTCAAATGTTCAACATATTTTTGATATATTGGAATGTCTTTTAATACGTCCAATGAGAACAACAAGGTTAACCCCGCCGCATTCGTAATGATCCTCTCCCAAGTCCAGAGCATGTTGTTTAGTGGTTGCCGTTGGTTCATGTCTGTCATATTTGCTTTTTCGTACATTAAGTTGTTATACATCAGGCCGTTCGTTTTTTCAATTTTATTATTTCATATAGTTTATTTCGTGGCTTTTTATAGCCGACAATGGTATTAGTTTTTCTCATTTATGAAGACCGTACCGTGGTTTATAATTTCTAGCATCCACTTCATTTAAACTTGGTGGACACTTGTCTCATACGAAATCATACCATATATCCTTATTTTTTTATAATAATGTTTTTGGAACAAAGGTGACATGTGTTCTATTTAACTGCTACTATTTTTTTAGACCAAATATCCGGAATAACCGAAAACATACATTATAGATACCTTAATATTCTGTTAGGCAACCATATTAAATCCAAATCCTGGTATCTATCATGATAATCTGAAATTTCAGCTGACTCAAGTATAGTTTTTTGTTTAACTGGGTCAAGGTTATTATGTTCTTTGAACACTTATTGCTTACAACGCCATGACATGATCGTTTCGGCTAATGTATTAAACAATTTTAAAATGTGTTATAAAATCATGGCTCTGACTTTGATTTTTATAAAGGGTAGGTAATTCGTTTTTTTCTTAATACAGAAAGACGCTAGATACATGCACAAATTTCAACAAACAAAGACACAGCTCCGCTCTTATACCTATACACGACGGATTGACAAATAAAAAACATCTTTTATTATTGTGTACTTCTATAAATATCAAAATCGTTGTGTTGATAATTTGAATGAATGTACATTTTGTTTGCAAAAGATTTAACTTATGTATTATGTCGTTTTTTTAATACATCGTACCAGTGTATCAATTTCCATAACACGAGGTGATAAACATACGGATACAAAAAAAAACAATTACACAATTTATAATATATACTTATCAAGAGACAGTAGTTGGTATATAGGCACTACCTATGTCTCAATTATTATGTTCGAAGTATCAAGAAATAAAACATTCTATATATTTTATAAACCTATGATCAGTTTTAAATTTGTTATGTGCAATCCCTGTATCTTTTGCTGTATTGGGGGTTGCATTGATTTATTACTTATAATGACTTAATTAATTTTGAAGGCTTGTTATTTTTATTTCTAATTTATACGAAGTTTCTTTAATATCGGAATATATCTGACGTTTCGAATCAATAAACGACACATTTTGATATAATCGTATTCTATCTAAATATAGATTACTGTGTCACGGGTTTTTAAATTTACCTGTGTGAAAATTGTATATGCTTTCCGATAAAATGGCTCAGGCGGCGTCTAAAACATGCGAGATTTGCATAAGTGCCTCGGGATCGCAATACTGCTTAGAATGTGAGCAATACTTTTGTGAAAATTGTAAAACATTTCATAATAGGCAGAAAATATCAAAAACTCACCAGTTTCAGTCTGCATTAGACGTAATCCCGGAAGGTAAATCAAAATGTAAAGACCACAATGAAGACGTAAGTTTTGTATGTAATGCCTGTAACGTAGCAGTTTGCAGCAGTTGTGTGACAGGAAGTCACAAACGCCACGATTTCTCGAAGCTTCATGACAGTATCTCACAGCTGAAAGCGACGAATGAACAAGAACTGTGTAGAAAGGTACAAGAGGCAACCAAAAACATGAAAAGGGTGGAAGAAGGCCTAAACACATTCGATATGAAGGTGGAAGTAGTAGTTAAAGCTATCACAGAAAATGGTTCAAAGATAAAGGCCATGGTTGATACACATATCGCACAGATGATTGCATCTGTCAAGGATCAATCCAGGATGGAAAGGGACAAAATGACAAAGATCATAGCAGATACTAGAATGGATTTGAAGGTAGGAAGCGACTTAGACAAGACGATGTATGAACTATACAAGACGCGACACGATGATAAATTGTTACAGTCTTTACAGAAGCTTACAGATGACATTGCAAAGCTGACGATAGAGCCTATAACCGAGTATCCCGACGTATTCTATACTGCTAAGTCCACAAACGATCATGACATCAAACAGCTGTTTGGCACATTCAAAATAAGGTAAATCAATGGGGAAAACATTTAAGTCGACTGCCTTTTGAAGTCGTAACACATGCTTTAATATGTTTACATTATTTTAATGTGACATTCAAACTTGCAGGGTTTTCCCGGTTCATATATTTGGATAATCAAAATTATGTTTTTTAATATTAATGTATTTCTGAAATGAAGTACATGTAAGACTCAGTAGAGACAATTTAATAAAACTAACGATATGGTCATAAACAGTTGTTTTTTGTTGTTGTTTTTTTTATAATTGATTAACACTGTACTATAGTTAAAACAGATGTGGCTAATAACACATTACATTTCAAATTGAAATAGCAATGCACTCAAGACACTTCGTAAAATTATGAAGTAATTCATGAATACACTTTTTTAAACTGGTACCGATAATTCTGTTTTCCACAATTGTTAGAATGCTTTGTTTTGAAATAATGCATGAAAGAAACATAATTAACGAAAATCAAATAAGATTGAGAATGGAAATGGGGAATAAGTCAAAGAGTCAACAACCCGACCAAAGAACAGACAACAGCGAAAGGCCACCAATGGGTCTTCAACGCAGCGAGAAAATCCCGCACCCAGAGGTGGTCATCAACTGGCCCCTAAATAAAATTGTGTACTAGTTCAGTCAAAATGGACGTCACACTAAACTCAAAAACATATACATGAACTAAAATTAAAAAAACATACAAGACTAACAAAGGCCAGATGTTCCTGACTTGGGACAGGAGCAGAAATACGGCGGAGTTAAACATTTTTTGTGAGATCTCAACCCTCCCCCTATACCTGTAGCCAACGTAGAATAAAGAAACACATAGCAATACGCACAGTTAAACTCAGTTCAAAAGAAGTCCGAGTCCGATGTCAGAATAGGTGACAAAAGAAACTAAGCATAATGACAATGATACACAAATAAACAAAGAACTACTAGCAGTTACTGAATCAATATCAATACCAAAATATGCAATCCTTAATGACTTGACAACAGTATCGTAACTATAAATGCATTGTACTATTTCCAGAGTGATGTACGTACAGGAGAAACGGGGTACAGAGGGAAGGAATTACATAAACCAAACAGGTAGGGCAATATATTTATATTTTACAGTGTTAAGTGTACACGTATGACAATGTGAATCCTTCGTCAAACGTTTTAGAAATCACATCTTATCTTCAAGTATACCTTTATAATTGTAATTAAAACATGTCGTCCATAGTTGACTATGCTTACATTTGTATCCTATGTTGTGTAAATCAGTGAAACCATTTAACTGTTGACACCTTCAATAGTTATGTACTTATCTTCATTACATTGTTTCAAAGAATCAGTGATTATGCTTATTTTGCTAAAAAAATATTTCACCAACTCACATTTGGTTTTTTTAATATTTGTTTTGAACTTATTGATACTTTAGACTTTAAACATTCATCAAAATTCTCTGCACTATTAAGGCAAGTTGTGCATTGTATAAGCTGAGGAAACTATACTATGTTTTCCAACGACATTATCAAGTCATGTTGCCCAGTCTAAAATGTTTATGTGTAGTTTTGTTGTTAACTGTCTGTCCTTTTGTCAATTTTAATTTCTTTGCCATAGCGTTCCCTGTATGTCTTCGACGTATGAGTGTGAATGACTTCTTTTAAAAAATATTCTAGATTCACAAGATTATTCAAAATTGACAGTTGATGAAGGTGCCAACGACTTCAGCAGTCAAATTCACAATCGACTGTTAATAAAGGGGTCAACGATTTTAGCAGTCACATTCACAATCGACTGATGATTAAGGGGTCAACAACTTTAGCAGTTTCAATTACCATCGACTGTTGATGAAGGAGTCAACGACAGTCACATTCACGGAAATTAGTAAAATTGTTCCGTTTTGTATATTTTCATTAAATGAACTTAACATAACACTACCATATTTTTCAAAATGTTTGATATAATCGTATAAAGCTTTTTCGTTGAAATTACAAATGTGCAGAAGTATTAAATTGTTCTACGTATTGTTAAATCAAAAGACGCTATCGATTCATGCGTTGTTTTATTTTTGCTGTAAGACAGACTGGGAAAGGGAGAGAAAAGTATGTGCAACGCAGAAATAGTTTTATAAGGACTTGGCATATAGATAAGAATGTCGGTAATTCAATGCTACCTTGTCTATACATTAGTTAGTGTAGATTCGGATACTATTTTGGTGATGTCATCAAGTTTTGTTTGAAAAAGACGACACATACCAATAGGATCATCAAGACTAAAATGTTGGAAGTAAATGACAACGTCGTGTCAAAAAAAAAAGCAAATAACGTTACGACAAACCTCACAAACAACCGATGGTGAATTTTGGTGCTCTCGAAGGGTAAACAGTTCCTGCTCTACATGGACTTCATAGGTATTTTTTCTTAATTTAAAAAAATACATCTTCCTGATGCAAAGTGTGTCTCTTTGTCTGGGTGTGAATAGATGATAGGCTGGTTATTTTTAACTCGAGAAACATGGACTTGGTAAGTGCCTCATGTATATTCAAATGCCGTTCTTTTTACACAGTTAATATGTGTGCCAGTTAGTAAATACTAGCTCATTGTTTACATCGTCAACTTAAGAAGATTTTAATTTTAATTTAATCAAGTGTGTTGTTCATTATAGTGAAAACAAACAAGATATGAAACCAAAAGAGCAAGGGAGATACCTGTACAGATGCGACGGATGTGGGTAAGTTCCTTGATATTGTTACTATAAACGTCATGACGTAAAGATATATATTTATCTGTGCCATCAGTGATCTTAATAGAGTTGTAAAAGTTACTTGGATGCTGAACTTCCAAAATAACTTATAGGGAAAACAACGACAATTTTTATAAGGTCATAAAAATAATATACTCATATCTTGGTAAAACATTGTAGTTTTGTTTCGTTGAAAATCCTAGAACAGCATTAAACAACTTAACCACGAACCTCAATAATGAACGACAAAAAGTACATACAATAATCATATTCAAACACTGTACTGTATCTTCAACGACACGACACGACATTTGCCTTCTTTCGACGATCATGTTTCAGATATTTAGAACGCTAAAAAGCCTTCTAATTGATAGCAAAACATTTAATGAAAGCATAATGAATAGCTCTCAATGCAGTGAATGCTTAACAAATTAGACATTTTATGTTTGTATTACATTTTAGATACTCAAGTTTACTGAGTCATTCATCACAAAACAGACATTACTTGTCGCAATGTACTTTTGGTGCAGAAAACGTGAAACCGTTAATGTTTTCATAATAATGTTATCGTTGCCCATAAAGATTTTGAAAGGTTAACGCACAATACTATTAAACATGAGGCGAATAAAATGAAGTTAACTAAAACGTTTTATTCGAAACTATTTGTTTGTTTCGGAAATGCTTACTAATCAAACGACTTAAAATCTATCAGTATGTTTGTTTAGAAAGCTGTTACGTATGCATGTGTAACAGACAACATTGTTCTCTTTTATATTTCAGAAAGGAAATGAGAACTTACAAGTGAGTATTATCGACTTCAATTGCAAGTGACGAATATTCAAAACAGTCATCTAATACAGATTACTTTTTAAAATATGTTATTCAATCGTTCGGATAATAGACACTTTGTACAAATAGATAGCATATTTCACTCTGACCATTACATATGTGCTAATACTCCAATATTAAAAACACGAGCTTTATGATATCAGCTGGATATGGTTAAAGATTACCATGCTTACGATTTCTACCGGTCATTCCATTTAATTTTTGGGGCGTTTGACTAGGTTTGTTTGTTTCCATCTCCTTTATTATGTAATTTCTACCAGCAACTAATAACTTAATCATGATTTTCAAGATAGCGGGTTAATGATAGCACAGATGACATTGAATCCAAATGATAATGTTGGTGACATCCCTTAAATGGCTTTTCGGACGCGAACAAAGTTTGGTTGACACATTTTAAATATTTGTATTCCATATAACTACGGATATGTTCCACTTGTCATAACAATAATCTTTCCTATTTTACCACAAAAGACTTACAATGGATATTTTCTATGACAAACACGACGGATGCTAGGTCTTAGTTTTCTTTGTATAGTTTTGTTATTGTTGTTTGTCCTTTTATCGCTTATTTTTTTGACATGGTGTTGTTTGTTTTTGTTGGACTAAAGATTTTCCAGTGCCCCCTTGTATCTTGTTTAAAATGTATTTTAAACAAATGAACAATTTACATCTAGTATACTGGTATTGAACAAGAAAAAAAGGGTCTCATCAGAACAAGTCGATATAAACCGCATATAGTACGTATTAAAATTTGACTTTTCTACAGTCAACTTAATATAATTACTTTGAATATAGAAATAGTACTGTTCTACTCATATATAAATTCACTGTCGGACCGATGTTGTTTTTCATTAATTCGTCAACCTGTCTGCAATACGTTTGGAAATACTTTATATGGCATTTTAAACAAAACGTATTGTTGTCTTGTTTGAAGCATTATCAATATTGAATATTAGCATGTGTCTAGACAAATGCTTTAGTACATGCATATCTTTCAAATCTGTCCTCTTAATCTGTATTTATATTTGAATTCTACATAAAAAGAACAATCCAGGGACATAGTAAACTTGTGAAGACCAAGTCTAACTAAACGTTATTTTATTTTATTTTATTCGGGATTGATCATGAGTTCAAAGTTAAGTCGTCCGTTCTTGTTTCTAAATATTTTGAGATTTTGTTTGCCAAAAATTGAATTGCCAAAATGCGTTTTAAAACAATTTTTTTTTTTTAAATCTCTCGGCTGGTATTAATCAACAACAAAACAATCCTTGCTTTGTATATCAAGAAAAAAACCAACATATTTAATGAGGCCATCATAAAGTTCGTGTATTAAAGTAAAATTGTGAGATGTGTTGCACACATAAAAACCTGGTTTTACAAGTTGAATATTCATTGTATAACTGGCTATGGGGAATAGGTTTTCCCATTGTTAATAGCCATACAGCGACCTATAATTTTAACCACGTCGTTTGAATATATTTTGTATTGGCAATCATATTACATGTCCTTATTTGTATACCAAAGGGTGCTCGAATATAAAACAGAGGAACATTATATAAGTGTCATTCCGATGTTTTGCTTAAATTTCACATGTCTTGGTTTAAAACAGGAGAACGTTGCAGGATTTGCACCTCCTGCTATGTATGTTTAATCCAACTATAAGCACCTTAGGCATAACTTTATTTTTAAAACCCTCCCAAAGACAATGGTGAAAAACATCTTGCAAAGTTTTTGATTTCACTTTCGAATATATTGATGATGTTTTGTAATTCAATAACCCACATTTCAACGATTGCGTACACCTCATACATTCCAGTGAACTTGAGATTTAGGATAATACAGAAGGAAGCAGATCTGTGTATATCTTGCCTTTTTCAAAATTGACATAACCTAGAATCTATGACAAACGATTTCAACTTCCCATTTTTCAGCACTAACGTACTGATTCGTCATTATTGGTTGATCTAATCGACGGTTCTCAACTCACCTAGGACATATTTTGGTTTTCTTGGAGCTTCGTATATAAGAACAGTCGTCTGATCTTTAAATTTACCGATTGTGTTGAATACCCGATAGTGACGTTTTTATAACAATGGATTCGCATTGCGAGTGATGCATGCATATCAGGAATCGTTTGTCCCATTGATGCACGCTGAGATAATGCGGTTCCCCAAGCTTTGTGTTTTGCTTGATTTGTCTCTCCTTATTCAATTAATGAGATTTGAGCACCAATCAAATACGTTTCCATTTATATGTTGTTTGCACTGAGTGATTTTGAAAGTGGAAATTACTAAAGAGATGTTTACTTTATTTTATCAAAATATATGAATTGTTCTAGCTAAGTATCAAGCAAATACTAACAACTATTAAACAAATGGACTTATCTAATCATTGAATGGACTAAATTATGTAAGCTTGTGTGCTATTGTAACGAAACTCCAGACTATCTTTTTGCACCTTTATTTGTACATCTAGCTTCAACAAGCATATCAAATCAAATGAAACGACGATTTTAAATGACTTAAGTTCTCTAAAAACAGTTTACAACTATAAACTTCAGCATACCTTATAGTTTTCCTTTACATATAATATCCTTTATGAGGTCTGTGTTGATACGATTAATATAACTGGACATATGCACTGCTTTAAAGTTCACAGCCAAAATCATTCAATGTGTTGATTACATCTTATGAATTGTATAAATTGATGTTTTTGAGATAATTATGTTTTGCATCGTGAAATCGTGAATAGATTTGCATATTTTTCCAGCTATTAAATCTCTTTTATTTTTCTGGAAGTAAGTGTTATTTACCAGACAGATAAGTATACTGTAATAAGTGCGTTAAACTTTCACTTCTTCGTACTATGAATATCAAAATTATTTATTTTGTAAAATATTTCCTTTCTCTGTTTGAACTGTACACGTATACCTAGCAACAAAATTATTTTCATTTACCTGTGTTTAAAGTAATTGCAAATGGCTGATAATTTTGTTCAAGCATATTGTTTTTCTTAAATTGTTTAACATTTCACAGCGGTATAACATGTTACTTTTATTATTCTTTCCTTAGTTTAATTATGTAGCATTTACATTGTATCATAGATCAAATGTATTTGTTCAGTGTATGTTCACTGGTGTTAATATGTCTTTTGATTGAGTTAAGCCATTTCAATTGATATTTTATAGTTAGTCTTTCTATGTTGTGATGTTACACTATTGTTTCAGATAAGGGTGAAGGTTTGAACGTTTAAACCCGCTGCAAGTGTTTGCACCTGTCCTAAATCAGGAATCTGATATTCAGTAGTTGTCGGTTGTTGATGTGGTTCATAAGTGTTTCTCGTTTTTTATATAGATTAGACCGTTGGTTTTCCCATTTGAATGGTTTTACACTAGTAATTTTTGGGGCCCTTTATAGCTTGCTGTTCGGTGTGAGCCAAGGCTCCGTGTTGAAGACCGTACGTTGGTCTATAATGGTTTACTTTTATAAATTGTGACTTGAATGGAGTGTTGTTTCATTGGCATGCATACCACATCTTATTATATCTATAAAATGTAGAATGAAAGCATGATACATAGGAAATTGATGTCTTATTTTAATTAATACCATCTAAGTTTAAGATTATCTCTGTATTATGATTGTTTTTGTTGTATCTTATCTTTTCGTTGTAACAGACTTCTGAAATATTTAACGGTATTTTTATTTATACATTTAGCTTCAGAAAACATATTCTAAAAAAATGTCATATAAATTGTGATATGTCTTTATTCCCCCCAAAGTTTGATTATAAAATAATGAAGATCGACGATATGTTATAGTCTTCTGTAAAACAAATCTTAATATATATGTTTCTTTTAAGTAGCTGCCACATCCATGAAAACGCAGTTTTATCTACAAAAAATCATTAACACTTTAACATAATAACTTGATCATATTTTTTAATTTATAAAGTGATGTTTCTTTATAATTAATTAGAATTGCATTTTTGTTTTTTTTAATTTTTCAGTCAATAGTAAATGTTATGTACCAAACAGATAAGTATATTGTGATTTTTTTACACAAAATGACGAATGAAAGGATAATACACAGTAAATTTTGTATGTAGTGTTTATTGAAATTGTTAAAATATAAAGACGCAATTACATAGAAGTAGAAATAAAACTTGTTCGTTTTTTAAGACTGAAACTATTTTTTAGTCTTGACTCAAGGGCTAACGGTCCATGAAGAATCAAACCGTAGAACATCATCATATCATTACCGCATCTCAACTTTGGCCCTTTTCTGAACATTTGAAGGTCCCTACTGTGAGTTTGAGCCACATATATATAAAAATAACCTTACAAATGTCGTTTCATATAGGTTCATAGCAAATAATTCAGAACTATTGTTTTCCTTTTGACTAGTTTTCTGACTTCCATTAAAGAACTTTTGATAGTTTGTATTCAGGCATATTTCCATAATGCAATTAATTGTCTTTAAAATTGGTTGAATGTGAAATGTTTCAAACAAAATTGTGAATTATTTATTCACCGTAAAGCCTTTTATTTAGAGATACCAAAGTACAATACTTGCAGTTACTATTTTAGCGATCAATCAGTGGTCATCGATCAGTTACCGATCGGTCAAGTTCCCGTCAAACCAATCATGACCAATACGTCAGACTTATAGTAAAACTTTTTGACTGATCGGACGGATCGGACGGATATGACGGATTGACCTTTCTGGCGAATTGAACTCTACTACGTCACCTGTTGATCTCATACAAATTACGTGTCATTTAATTAAATGGCGCCACCGATAAATACGAATCGTTCAAGTACATAAGCTCGACATTTTTATTAATAATTATGCAGCAAAGTTTTAAGAATTAAAAGAAGAAAAATATGCAGATAAAACTTAATCTCATTATTATTAAAGAATTGTGATTGTCGTTTATATTGAGGTATTTTTTTTTTCAAATCGGATGAGTGCTAAAACGGTATTTATTGCGACTGTTGAATAAATTTTCCGAAAATACTCTGAAAAATGTAATGAAATGATCATTTATTGAAAATATCTGTGTATTATTTTCAGTAAAATGAAGAAATATGCTGCTTGGACACTCGATAACAATGCAAACAAAATATGAAATATATTTTACCACAAAATTCATCATGTTTTTGGGGGAGCAACCCAACAAAAATAATTACATCTTAATGAAATGAAAAACGAATTGCACTCTTATTCAGCACAAAGAAGAGTTTAAATATCTTAATAGATATAAGAAGATGTGGTATGAGTGCCAATTAGACAACTCTCTATCCAAGTCACAATTTGTAAAAGTAGAAGCCTCCCCGTGCTTCAGGTTTCTGCCCTTATAATATACTAGATTATGGAGTGTGTGTCCGAGCGAGAACTTCTCTATGTTCATTACTTTAGGAATATTTATCAAAAAGTAGTATTTCACATTCAGCCCCATTCTTCTATTTAGTCAGACGTCAGTCGCTACCCTGAGATACCCTATCTTTTGTTTTATTTTTCGGGTAATTCATGACGGATAGCGTTTGGCGTCTTTAGCCGAACAGTTTTATCATATTCACATAATTCAATTTATTGTGTGCTGGTTCATATTCTGGACGCAAGTCTTTGCTCCTTTCTAATAAAATCCACATAACAAAAAACAAATATGAAGCTTAGAAATGGAAAAATATTAAATACTAAACTCGTTCAAAGGGTATCTACACGTCTCAATCTTCAAAATCGCTTAT